AAATGTTATTATATATTACTTCCTCCGTTCTTTTTTAGGGCTGTTCTCATTGACTGAACTGAACTGAGCTGAACTGAACTGAACTGAAATGAGCTGAACCGAGCTGAACTAATCTGAAATGAATATTTTATAAGAGAAGGAAATTAGGAGCTGAACCAAACTGAACTGAACTGAGCTGAACTGAACTGAACTGAGCTGAGCTGAACTGAACTGAACTGAATTTCAACGTAAGAGAACAGACCCTTACTTGACCCGCTTTGACTTTTACACTATTCATCACCCCTCCTTTGACCATCATTTGTGAATAATATGTAAGGAAAAATATATTCATGTAAGATCTTTTTGAATTTGTCTCAATAAGTACTACCATAATATATGACCTTATAATTTTTATTTATGTAGAATTAAAGTTATTAACTGATCATTAAAGTTTTGCATTGACAAGCGTGATAAAAGAAACAGGTCAAGTAAAAAAAACAGAGGAAGTATGCCATCAGATTAGTCATAATATCTAGTTTCATACTCCCTTCGTTTTTAAATACTTGCTCCACTTTCCTTTTCCTGCTGTTTTTAAATACTTGCTCCATTTCCTTTTATGAAAAGCTTTTACAATATTTAATTCATTTCTCACACTTAGTGGACCCAACATAATACTCTCTCTCCTCCTATTCTTCCACTACTTTTGCTTTTTACAATTTTTTATTTTTTCAACTACCCCACTACCTCCATATTTTATTACTTTCTCCAATTTCTCCTAAAACTCTGCGCCTGGAGAAATGGAGCAAGTATTTAAAAACGGAGGGAGTAATATATTTACTAATACATAATTAAAGATATCAACTGTAAAAGTTACGTCTCAGCAAATGTGTTAGTCAAACTGATGCATTTAAAAAAACAGAGGGAGCAATAGAAATAGATATAAATACAGATTACCTTTTAGTGGGCGTTTGGTTCAAACAATGGTATAAGTTTGGAATGAGGAATTAAACCTGGGTGGTATGGGGTTGGAACTTGATACTTGATTTCATATGTTTGGTTTTTATCTAGGAATGACAATTTCTTTTTAATTTTAAACTAAAGGTATGGGTTTGAGCCATACCCACCCCCCCCCCTTGGGTTTCAAAAACCCATACCTTGGGGGTTTGAGGTATGGGTTTGGAAAATGAAATTTCTACAAACAAACACAAGGTATGGGTTTTGGTCATTACAAACCCATACCTTATACCTAATATGCTTGAACCAAACACCTCCTTATGTATAGTTGACAAGTAAGAATGGGTCACTCTAGGTCGAAGGCTAATAATCAAACTTAAGGGTCAGTTAAGTTCACCTTAAATGATCTAATTTAATTTTTTCTAATCTGATATGCTTTAATCTTTTATTTTTTCTAATTTGGTATGCTAAACTCAGTTTTGCTAATCTGATACGAATGTCTTATCTGACTAGTCTTTGAAATTGTATGTATCAATTAGGGTTTTGTTAAATTCGTAATAATGTGTATTTTTCATTACAAAAATAGAACATATTCACCTCCAATTTGACGACTAGAGAAAAATGCATGTCTTTGTCCAAATGTTTGGCTTGTTTCACTTCTTAATTTAATCCTAGTCCTATTCAAGGTGTCGTTCATACGGAACACAAAAAACGCACATATAACAATACACTATGTTATAATTTGTTTTTTTCCAATCTAATTTGATCTGGACTTATTCAGGTCGATCTAGTTTGTAATTGTTTAGGCAAATCTTAGTGAAGGCATCTAGGAATTTGCTTAGGGATTTAGGGGTAATAACAATAAAACCACAAGTATGGAATACAATAACCAAGAGCAATAATAAAGCAATAAGTAAACAATTAAACTAAAAGAGAATAAGTTTGGAGATAAAATACTGAGTAAGGACATGCCTCCTTGTTCAGCAAAGACACGATTCCGAGAGTATAAAATAATCAGCTTATGTTAATGTATATGTGAGCGTACATGAGTATTATGATGTCTAATTATGCTATTTATACTCAGGACCCATTAGGGTTAGAAAGATACTGAATATATTCAAAGCATGAGAGATCTTCTTGATTTATTGTATTTCCATGTTCAATAGGTGTATTCTTGGCAAGTATCTTCATGACTAATATTCTGATCTTGCTTTCCTTGCTTGTTCAAGTCAAGCCGTTTTGCCTGCTTTAGTGTATCTTCTGATCATGGAATGGTGCCCTAAATATATTGGGTCGCTTAGTGATACGGGCCCAACAATTGCCCCTAAATTTTATGTTCAAGTATTGAAGGTGAAATTACCTAAAGGGAGTCGTTGGAGAATTTTCAAATTTTTGGAAGTTATTTCAACGATTAACAAAAATAAGAAACGTGATGGCAATTTTAAGGCAAGTGCCTCGATAACTGTAAAGGGAGGTTTATTTCTCTTGCAGTATTTATTGGGTGTGCAGGCTTACATCAAATCACTTCACTCTTTGCCCCGATTTCGAATTTTCTTCAGCTACTTTCTCTCTCTTCTCTGTTCTTCCCTGTTTTTCTTTTATTTCTTTTGCTTCCTTTGTGTTTTGCATTGGGTGACGCCGTGAGAGCAGGGTTTGCTGGGGTTGATGAGGGTGTGAAGAAATTGACTCTCATCGCGCAGAATGTTTTCCCTGCTAAGGATGTCTATCCTTCCCATATGATGAAGCTAGGAGGATGTTCAGAAAATCGCTACTGTTGCGTGGTATCCTGATGGAGTGGTGGTGAAAATACCATCTTCAAGGGAAAGGGTGGACTAGACTGCCCCTGGTTGGGTGTTTTTTTTTTTTAGTATCCCTTTGTGATTGGGCATACCTTTCCTTTCTCCCCCCTTGTTTGTCAAATTCTGTCTAAGACTAGGGTTTTGCCTCGTCAATTATTGCCCCAGACTTGGAGGGTTTTGCGAATTTTTGACTTGTTGAGTGCGAGGTTAGGTATAAAAATGGATGTAAGGGATTTTTGCTATCCTTACACTATTAGGACCAGTGGCAAGGGTCGAGTTGGATTCGCTTAAAGGATGGTGTCGGTCCTTTGGTGACAGGTCTGGAGAAGGCGTTTGATAAGAAGTGGTACCACAAGTTTTTCTTTGTGAGGATTGATTCATTGGGTGATGTTTGTGATTTTTTATTGACACTGTTGAAGCTGAAGGTATTTTATTTTCTTGTTTTCTTTGTGCTGTTTTCCTTCTTTGTTGATTTGGGCTTATTTGCTTGATGGTTGTAGTGAGTAAATTGAAGCAGCGCTCTCAATCTCCGTTTCTGATCGATAAGTTGTACGAGTTGAGTGAGGACGAGAGATCTTTTATCAAGTTAACGCAACCTGAGGTGGTTGTCCAGAATAAGGCTTTGGACGATTTCAACTCTGAGAAAAAAGTTGCCCCAACTATGTCTCAAGGTTCGTTTTTCCTTTTTGATAAACTATTGTAGTGCTATCATGTTGCCCTTGTTGGACATCTACTTATTGCATTGTTGTCGTGTGCTTTGTGTTGCTCTTTCTGTACTGTTGTTTCTGCTGGGTTTGCATTGTTGTTTGTTTTTCCTGATTGTACCCTGCTGAATTTGCTGTGTGCCTTGTAGATACTATAGGTCATTAAGGTCTCATGATTTGCTCCTCATGATGGCTTTGATGGGATATTTGGTTCGTACACGTATAGAGTGGCTTTCAAAGTATGGGCGTAATTTTATTGAAGCGGTGACTAAAGCTAAGATGATTTTTTCTAAGGGGGTGTACCTTGTTTCCGTACTGAGTAAGGTTTTACTTACATAGTAGATAGGAAATTGCTCCTTATCTTCTTCCCTGGTGAGAACTGCACTGATCGTACTTTCAGATACTGCGAGGTACAACTGAACTGGTTCTCCCTCTTTGGGTTTGGAAAGTATCAAAGCTAAATACTCTTTCAGCTTCTGAAAAGCCTCTTCGTGCTCCCGTTCCCATTTGAACTCTTTATTCTTCTTCAGTACTTCATAGAAAGCTTTGTTTTTGTCGAAAGATTTAGAGATGAACCTATTCAGTGCTGCTATTCTCCCTGTTAGACTCTAAACATCTTACTTTGACTTTGGTCGTTCTAGATCTAGGATGGCTTTAAATTGGTTCGGGTTAGCTTCTATTCCTCTTTGTGTCACTATGTAACCTAAGAATTTCCTTAATTGTACTCCGAATGTTCACTTTATAGGATTTAACTTCATTCCGTATTGCTTCAGGATGGCAAAAGCTTCTCTGAGGTCCTTGACGTGATCAGCAGCCTTTTTGTACTTGACTGCCATATCGTCTATATAGACTTCCATTGTGTTCCCAATTTGCATGTTCTGCAAACATTTTATTTACCAACCTCTGGTACGTCGCTCCTGCATTCTTCAATTCAAAAGGCATTACCCTGTAGTAATAGATTCCTTGGCTAGTAATGAATGCAATCTTTTCTTAGTCTTCCTTGTGCATGAGGATCTGGTTGTACCCGTTGTATGCGTCCATAAAGGAGAGTAGCTCATGCCCTGCTGTTGCATCTACTATGGCATCAATGTTAGGTAATGGGAAGGGGTCTTTTGGGCAGGCCTTGTTGATGTTTGTGAAGTCGATGCATATTCTCCGTTTTCCGTTCTTCTTTTTGACTACTACTATGTTGGCAAGCCACTCTGGGTACTTTACTTCTCTAATCTTTCCTGTCTTCAACAAGTTTTAAATTTCTTCATTGATGATCTTGTTCCTTTCTGGCGTGAACTTTCTTCTTTTCTGTTTCACTGGTGTATGCATTGGATCTACGTTCAACTTGTGAGTGATCACATCTAGAGAGATTCCCTTCATATCTTCATGAGTCCAAGAAAACGCGTTTTTTTTCTATTTCCAAGAATTCTGAAATTTGCTGTCGAAGGTCTAAACTCAATTCTGATCCTATCCTGACTTTTTGATCTGGATGGTTGGGGTTCAGCTGGACCTCTATTGCTTCTTGCTCTTCTGCTATACTGAGTTTTTCTTGGCCCAACTGACCCTCTAATTGCTATGCTGAACTCTTCTCTACGGATGTTGCTTTCAGGGAGATCTTGTAACATTCTTTGGCTTCTTTAGGATCCCCTTTAATTTCTTGAATGCCCCACCTTGTAGGGAACTTAATGACTTTATGATAAGTAGATGGGATAGCCTTCATTTCGTGTATCCATGGTCTGCCCAGAATCATATTATACGACGATAAGGTGTCGATCACTAGGAACTTGACTTGCAGGTTAATCCCTTTTGTGTAAGTTGCCAATGTTATTTCTCCGCTTGTTTTCTTGGTCTCTCCGCTAAAACCTACTAGCATTGTTGACTTGTTGACGATGCTCTTCTCATCAATGTTCATATGTTTCAAGGTATCAATCATAATGCTGTTCGCGGAGCTTCCGTTGTTAACGAGGATTCTCTTGATCATGCAATTTCCTACTGGGAGTGAAATAACTAGGCCATCATGATGGCCTTCTACGACATCAATTTCTTCGAACATGATTAGGATGTCCATCTTTGACCTTGCCTTTCTATCGGGCTGATCCATATGGCTTTCTTTTGCATGCCGCTTCACTGCTGAATATGTTAAGCCGCACACCTCTGACCCTCCTGATATGAAGCATATGGTCTTGACGATTGGAGGAGGAGGTAGGGGGGCACCTTGCTTGGATTCATTCTCCCTTCCGGTCCTAACTGACAAGAATTCTTTAATGTAGCCCTTCTTCAATAGGTAAGCAACTTCCTTCCTGAGCGCGACGCATTCGTCAGTTGTATGGCCAATATCTGAATGGAAATCGCACCATCTTGATGGATTTTTCTTTTATCTTGGTCTGTCACTCTTTTTAGGCCACTTCTGGGCCACTGCACGGTATCTCCCATTTTGATCAAGGTTCTGATTACACCTGCAGGGTTAACATCGAAACAATATTCATTTCAGGATCTTCCCTCTAATATGAGAATTCTCCCTTGACAGCATTGATTGACCCTTCACCAAAACGGGAACGCTAGTATGGCTTGAATCGATGATCCCTTCTGGGGAAGTTATTACTCCTTCTTGGCTGGCGATCTGGCTCTGGAGTCTTCTTTGCATACACATCTTCTTCAAATCTGACTTGTGCCATAGCTTTGGCTTGTACGTCTTCAAAGGTTGTGCAGGGATACTTTGTTAATTCCTTATAGAGTTCACTATGATCTAGCAACCCCCTTTTGAATGCATCGATTGTTGTAGGAGCATCGCACTTGTGTATCCCGATCTTCTCCCTGTTGAACCTGTTAAGATAATCCCTCAAGGATTCTCCATGTCTTTGCACAACACGGTAGAGATCTGAGGATTGCTTCTCGATTTTCCTGCTACTAGCTAATTGAATCTTGAAGAGATTCACCATCCCTTCAAAAGATCAAATTGTCCCATTATCTAAATTAATGAACCAAGTTAGGGTTGAACCTGATAATGTGGCTCCAAAGCCTTTGCACATGATGGCTTCTCTAATATCTCTGGAGATCGAGCTAGTCATCATCTTCTGCTTGTAGAGGGATACGTGCTCATCAGGGTCTGTTGTTCCATCGTACATGGCCATATTGGGCATACTGAACCTCTTTGGCACTTCCACCATGACGATCTCTTCTAAGAAAGGAGACTCTATGTAGCCATCTGCTGCTTCTTCCTCCATGGGCTTTGGCACTCCAGGAATCTTGGCAATCTTGGCCTCAAATGCTTTGAGGTACTCCTTGACCACCTTTTCTATCTTTCCCTCCTCAGTTCCTTCCTGTTTTTTCTTCTTAAGAGTTCATGCATCCATAAAATCTAAGTCCAGGGGTTGCTCCTTGCTGTTAGAGCCTTTTTCCCCTTTAGGGGTTTGGAAGGTTCCGGACATATCAAGCTGCATGGCTATACTTTCAGTGCTTTTTCTAGTGTTAACGATTTTGGATGCAACTGATTATATTTGGCTGCGGAGGGCTTCATTTTGTTTGGTTAGGCTAGTTAGCTTGGCTTCGGTTTGAACCTTTTGGGCTAACAATGTTTCGATTTGGCTTTTTTGCTAGTCTAAGGTTTGACGGAATGCATTCATTCCTTCATTGATTTCGGCTATGGTGAAAGGTACTAGCTGTCCAGTCATGGTGATTGTCTTGGTTTTTGGCGGATTGGTAGGTTAATTGATTATCAGCCCCACGGTGGGCGCCAAATTGTTTAGGCAAATCTTAGTGAAGGCATCTAGGAATTTGCTTAGGGATTTAGGGGTAATAACAATAAAACCACAAGTATGGAATACAATAACCAAGAGCAATAATAAAGAAATAAGTAAACAATTAAACTGAAAGAGAATAAGTTTAGAGATACAATACTGAGTACAGACATGCCTCCTTGTTCAACAAAGACATGATTCCGAGAGTATAAAATAATCAGCTTATATTAATGTATATGTGAGCGTACATGAGTATTATGATGTCTAATTATGCTATTTATACTCAGGACCCATTAAGGTTACAAAGATACTGAATATATTCAAAGCGTGAGAGATCTTCTTGATTTATTCTATTTCCATGTTCAATAGGTGTATTCTTGGTAAGTATCTTCATGATTGATATTCTGATCTTGCTTGCCTTGCTTGTTCCAGTCAAGTCGTTTTGCCTGCTTTAGTGTATCTTCTAATCATGGAATGATGCCCTAAATGTATTAGGTCGCTTAGTGATACGGGCCCAACAATAATAATAATAAGTAAAAATAAGGTGAGCTAAATATAACCTAGATGGACCAGGATTTGGGGTGAAATTAGATTGAGTCAAACGGACTTTTCTGGCTATTTTGAATTAGTTCAAGTTTCATGTAATTTTGAGAGGCTTTGCACGTAGAGATTGTTGAGAGGAAGAGATGCCTTATTACTATTACATCACTTTGTATGAATTGAATAATTAGAGCAAGTACATAAAAGGTGCATAATAAAGCAATATTAAATGTTACATTAGTAACTATATGTTAATGGAACAATAAAACAACAATAACAAAGATTAGCTATATTACTATATATGTTTATTTTATTTTTTTGACAAAATTACTATATATGTTAGTGCAACAATAAAGCAAAATTAAATGTTAGATTAGTAGCTTATGCAATAATCAAAATGGAGCGTTAGTGCTCATTCAAATAGAAGAATAGAACATTCAAGCATGATGATTACTCCATGCAAAAGTCCAGCTTTGATCGAGACATATATGCTCATCCAGTCGCCTATGCATAGACAAGGTATTCAAGTTTGATTCTTGCATGAAGATAACCACCATGACTTAGAAAATCTATCTACCAATATCTATTAACTATTACTAAAACAAAACATGGTGACATCATTAGAGGACACTTGTGTAATACTAAAACAGACACCAGGCTTGACACGTGTCTATTCCTAATGCTGTTTTTTCCCTCCAAAAAATCCCCCTTCACTTTTTTTTTTGTCAATACCATCTACGGCTTACTATAAAATTTGCACAAAATATTCAACATATCATATAATTGTAATAATTTTGATTCATATATTTACCATATTATATTAAAATATTTTCTAAATCACTTACTTTGGACATTTTAAAATTTAAATTAGAGATGACAATTGTGTCGTGTTGTATTCCTGTTCGAAATTAAACCCGTTGGGTATCCTCAACACTAACCCGACCTATATAATGAGCACATGACGTGTCGTTTCGACCTGTTCAATTAAACTTGTCGAAAATTCTTGACACAAATATTCTTTTTCGTGTTCGGTTCATGTCATGTTGTCGTGTTATATGAAAAGTATTGGCATTCATTCAATAAATTTATCAAAATTTTCGTAATTTATTAGGATTTTTTTTAATCGGGTTGAGTCATGTTAATAAATATATTATAGTTGTATTTTGCTTATGATATTTTTATTAATAAAATATGATTACTTTTCTAATTAAAAGTAGTGAAATTACCGTGCATAGCATGAGTCCTAATCTAGTAATTATACTAAAATAGAGGACGTTTAATCTAAAACTGACACATGTCGCTCATATAATAAAAATTTTCCCGCCTAATTACATTATACTATTTATGGTAATTCTAAAGTTTATTGCGGTGAATTAATATGCAATCTAAAAGAATTTTTTTAGTTACTAATAATCAAAGGCAGAGCCACAGGAGGGCTGGTTGAGGCCCGACCCTTGTGGCCCAAATGTCAGGCCTTATATTTTAAAGGCTAGCACCCACAGTTTTATAGCATAAAAAAATTAAGTTTTGTAATAGTTCAATTAATGGTTGAAAGATTTCACGACAAATTCATGCACAATTCTAGTCTCATGTTCGATTCCTTTAAGCAATTTTTTTTTACAAAAATTAAATTAGTTTTATCCAATTTTCTTTTTTATCTAATAAAATTTCTTTATCCCTTCAATGTTTACAAATTTTTTTATATTTTAAACTTACTTTTATTATTTTCTCTATTTACTTTTCTTAAACAAACATTACATATATTTTTATTTTCTTGGTGTAAATGAACCATTAGAGTAATACAAAATATTAATGGGGAGGACAGAGAAAGAAATCAAACCTATACCCTATACAGGCATACACAAACCCTTCACCTTAATCAATAAGGCAAAACCTTATTGGTTGTGTAATATTCTATGTACCATAGATCATTTTGACCAAATATTTTGTGTTGTTTTATAAAAAAATTAGTCTAATCTAATTTATAAATCCCACATACCTGAAAAGAGATAATTGAACAATGATAAATTCATAAAGGAGTGGAAATAAATTGAACATAATGAGGTACTTGGAGTATTATATTTTCTTACCTAATTTTTTTTACCCTTTTAACTTTTATGAACCTTAGCCTGTTCATACAATACCATAAATTTGAAATGCATTACACTGGTTTTTCTATTCATCATAAAGTCTTTAATAACAATGTGTGTGATATATATGATCTTAAATTCTTAATAAAATTAGATTAATATTTCCTTAATTTTTCAGTTGCATGGCAGACTGATAGTGATATATTCACATACTTTGTTTTGACTAATTAGGTAATGTTTCGGGGTTTTCTGATGTCCTGCGGGAGAGTTACAATTCCGAGACTGGAACCGGACGCCTGTACCTGCAAAACAAACGGATGCTCCGGATGATTGGAGATCCGCCTCCGACGGTCAAGTTAGTACTTGATTAAGGAGTAATTAATGCGGAAATTAAAGTGATTGGGTCTTTCTAGGCGAGAGTGTTTAATGTGTGTAATCTGCGTTTTTAGCGTGTCATCTCCCTTAATGAGGATTAAGGGAGGTATTTATAACCTCGGGAAACGTGTCAATCTAGGTTTAGGTTAACCTTGGGCTGATTGGGCTTCCCTCGGAAGTTGGGCCTAGGTGACCGGTTATCCCAGGTGTCATGGGAAGGACACATGTCGTGTCGTAATTGGTCCATAGTGGACAGATCATTGCTTGACACGTGGCAGGCTCCTATTGGCCCATGTGACGGACACATGGCGGAACCTGATTGGTCCACTTGTTAGATGGTGATTGGTGGGGAAAAATCCCCTAATCATTTGCCCCTCACAGGTGGCACGTGACTGGTCACGTGTTACCTGTGACAGGTATCGCCCTGTAACAGGCGACGGCCTGCTACAGGTGTCACTCGGCGAGAGGCCGAGAGATTCTCCCGCCAAAATTTTGAATTCTGGAAGTGACCCTTCGCCTTCTCACTTCGCCTGATCACTAACAGGAGTGTTGACTTCGGTCATTTTCACACTTGAAAACTTTGTGAGAGAACATTCGGACCCCTGAACTTGCTCTGACATTTTAGACCGTTTCTGCCCACCGCCTGCTCTGACAAGCCGACTGCAAAGGATTTTCAGAACTTCATCAATCGTCACTCGTTCAGGTAACCGTCGGTTCTCTTACTCTTAATTTTCTCATTACTTTATTCTTTTTTGAAATGGCACCACGGAAGCACACGACACGACCTAGGTTAGTGATCAGCCGGTCACCGGGGACGGCTGAATCTAGGACTAGGAGTGCCGCCTGCCCTTTTCTGGACCCATCTTTGCCCTTTATACAAAGTCCGACTGTATCTGTGTCTATGCAGAACATGATGGCCAGAACAAAAAAGACTGCCAGGATCTCAAACTCAGACGGCTCCTCCCACAGGGTGCCGATTAGTGAAACATCTGACCAGGCGCCAGATGTGGAAGTGAAACAAAGCGGCTTGAAAGCCGGCAGTTCTGAGGGAGGAGTCAAAGTGACCCCTTCCCATTTTACAGTTGACAATTCTACATTCTCTCCTGCTCCTTTTAAAGGAGAGGAGGCGGGCCCCTCCGGGAGAGGGGAGGAGTCGTCCTCTTCGGACTCGTCAGAGGACGAATCCGAGTCTAGCTCTTCTGACCATGCTTCCCTGGACACAGAAGAGAAAAACAGTCGCCTACAAGAGGCGAGGCTTTCTCACGCAGTTGAGAAGGGGGACGATTGGGCGGAGCCATCCGCCTCTCACCGAGAGCAAAATACCCCCTACTACTGCACGGTACCTCGGGGCCGGATCACAGCCATGCAAGAGAAAGTGGAGAGCTTTATCGCAAACCACACAATGGGCCCCGACTTTTTAGTGTTCGTGCCGGATCCAGAAGACACAGTCGTCTGGCCGGCTGGTACCAGTTATGATGGCGC